GCAGTAGTCTGACTAGTAAGGGGCTTGTTTGTTCTAGTCCGACGGCTCGACACCACGCGCCATTCCCGATTTGCCTGTTTTCCCGTGTTTCGATCAAAGACAAAGCTCGCTTCCTTTCCATTCGCCGCACCACTAGCACCAAATTCGAACATAGAAAAACCATCTCTCATCCCCTCGTGCTCTAGAATGTCAAAGTGGGAACCCCGACATTGAATTGTGGTTGGTGCTTTACCGGACTGTACCTTGTCCCCACCTTTGTCCCGTCGGGTGTATGGCTGGCGTTGGCGCTGCAGAACTTGTACCCATGGCCCATATCGTTGCGCCCCACCGCCGTCCTGTGGTGTTTTAGCGGCCCATCCTGTTCAGCCGTTGTTGATGCGTCAGCACATTGTTCTTTTGGGACCAAGCGGTCAGATGGCGGAGGTTAGAATACGCATGAGCTGCCCGAGTGCCCAATTCGACCACATTGGAAACAAATAACCGGCAAGCTTTCATACACTACTCTCTGGGATCTGCTGTTAATGGAAAATTCTACACAAAGAGGCTTCGTAAGATCAACCATCACAGCAAGCCGAGCATATTTACCACGAGTCAAAGCAGCGGTTTGTTGGTCTATCTTAACCACTTTGCCGACGACCTGGCCAATTTTGCGGAATATCTTGTGATAGTAGAGGTGGGCGGGCAACCCAGGTAGACGTATCCACGCAACTGTTGCAGTTAAATGCTCTTCGCTCGCATCAAATTCTAACGTCCATGGTTGGACATGCATATAACTATTTCCCACTACGTAAGGTCCCCTAGTGAGGACTTGGACTGGGTCATCATGATGCCGAAATTGGATTAGATAGAATCCGTGCTCCAAGTCCATCATATTGCATCCGGCCATGAAAGGCCACATCCGGGTTAATCGATTGTAGAGTGAGGCCATAGTGAGAGATTCATCGAAGGGTTTCACCACCACGGCATTCCGCCAGTCTTTGCTAATTTCGTCAAAGAATCGCTTAGCTATCGTAATTTCAGGCGTTGATCCGGAAAGGTCTACAGTTACGTCGTCATCAGCCATATCTTTATCACAATCATCCGACTCGAGGTCCACATGGTGCTTTTGTCGATTGACCATGTCCTTGAAAGTCCATTTTTTGGGCGGTGGTTCATGCAACTCCTTCAACCCCTGTTCAGGAGCCGGAATCAGAGTCTGCTGGGGATTCGGTGCCGTCGGTAGGTCGAGAGTTTCACCGGGGCATTTCCGCGATTTGAGGCGCTTGCTGACTGGCTGGGTATTTCGGTCAAGGGCTGGGAACTCTGAATCATTGTAGAGAGACCGAGAGTTGTCTCTCGGGTCAAAGATTTCTGCTCCGGCGTTGAATCTGTGGGTTGTAGCGCGATCGTGCTCGTTGACGGACATTAGGGTTCTTTTTCAGCCGGCACGGGTCAATTATTATGAGACTTTTAAAAGTGAAGACTTTTGGAGACTTTTTTACAAGTATAAAAAAAAAAAAAAAAA